TAAGCGATGGCAACGGTTTCAGTCGTTGAAGCACTGCGGGGTAATCCAAGGCATATATTAAGTGCTTTGGCTTTAATGCTCTGAATTGCGCGCAGGTTGGTCTTGCCGGGGTAAGATATTGCAGGTAAGCTGTACCGTAAGAATCCGAAAATCAGCGCTCTGTATAGTTGTAGCATCAATGGTATGTGCACTCCCCAATTCTTTTCTGCAAGGAATTTGAACATGTGAAATGTTGCGATCAGCCGCTTTTTCACATAGTTCACGTGTGGAGTCCACGACAGGTGTCTGTCTTCGTCAGCGCACAAATAAAACAGCATAGCGTAATGACTCACTCAGAAAAAAAAAGGCAGATCCCACGTACAGTGGGAATCGATGATATGCAAACCACAAATGAGAATTGTTGATATGTTACTTTAAAATCAGCACAACCTTACTAGGTGGAGGTAAATTATGCCGTACATGACTTTAGTGTCATTATTACTATGTTTGGATGTGTTGTTTACCTTCGCCATCTATTCTAGTCAAGTCGTACCAAATTTCGTATATGTGGAGCTAGCGAAATAGCCGCGAGCGCGCTATGAGCGTGGTATGTTGTCATGTTCTTACATGGCACACGTGGCAGGATTATAATGTTTGCACCAGTCATATATTTCGTCATCCATTGAGCTCATGTAACACGAAATTTTGTATATGTGGAGCTAGCAAAATGGCCGCGAGCACATCATGAAGGGCCCTATATAATTTAATGTAGCGTTGAGGCGCGCAAACGTTGGGCACAGCTACGCTACCTTAGCGAAACGCGATCACTTATAGTCTGACGCTAGGCGCGATTCAGCCTCTGTCAGCGGGGCCTGACGGCAACTAGCGCCAAATGCGACATGCTGCATTGCGCACCGATGCGTTACCCAGACAATACTGCGTCTCCATCTATCATTTCGTGACTGAACGACGCCGGACGCAATGAAACGTACATGCGTCAAAGCAACACAGCGCTGCACGAAGCTGCCATTGTATGGCAGGACTGGCGCCTGGCATGGCAACGCAGGCGTGACGCGACGAAATGAACGCTGGTGAGCACGCGCACCGCATCACGTCGAAATGTATTGGCGTCTTGACTGTGGTATATAGTCATGTTATCAAATGACACGCATCTCATGATTATCATGTTTGCACCAGTTACACACCTTCGTCATCCATTAGGGTCGCGTAATGCTGAGTTTGGTACATGTGAAGCTCGCAAATTGGCCACGAGCGCTCGTCCTCTCTTTATTTCTGTTGATTCGTGCGCTTGAACTGACAGTTATACCACACATCTCATCTTTATTATGTCTGCACCAGTATCATATCTTCGTCATTCATTCACGTCCCGTAATACCAAATTTGGTATAATTGAAGTTAGCGGAATGGCCGCCAGTGCATGATGAGTGAGACATTTATTCATCTTATTACATGGCACACATCTCATGATTATCATGTTTGCGCCATTCACATACCTTCATTATCCATTCACTTACCGTTATATCAAATTCGGTATATGCGACGCAAGCTGAACGGCCGCGAGCGCATCATGAGCGTGGAACGTAATCATGTTGTTAGATGACACGCATGTCATGATTTTTATGTTAGGGTCTGTTGCTTGTGTTCACCATGCAATCATGTCCTACCATACCAGTTTTACAACGCACCACGTGAACAAATTCACTGCAAAAGCTGCAGGACCATGAAATAAAAATCATGACATGATGACATAGATTTCATGATTTTCATGTTATGACTACTCAAATGTGTTCTTCATATAGTCCTATTATGCCACACCAAGTTTGGTATCGATACCATTATTGAAACGACCAGGAGAGCTAAAAGTCGTAGTTGGCTAGATAGATAGATAGATAGATAGATAGATAGATAGATAGATAGATAGATAGATAGATAGATAGATAGATAGATAGATAGATAGATAGATACTCAAAATCGCCGAAGATTTCATTGAAATGCTTCGCATTTAGAAGCTCTACCCATAATTATATGTGCTCGCTATTGAACTCAATTCACGATCTGGTTATGCAATAGCATTTTATTCTGAGTACACCTTCATTCAGATATATAAGGAAATTGCCTACAGTTACCTCGCGAGAAGAACGTGCTTCAAAGGGCAAAGTTTTTTCTCCCGATGTTTTGAATCCGCTGCTTTCTGCGCATTGAACTTTCTTTTTTTGCACCAGGGAATATATTATATTTCAACTCAAAGGAAAAAAATCACAGCATATCCAGGGAGTGAGTGATGATGAGTAGGGCGAATAGCTGGAGAGTTTCATCGCCAAATTGTGAACCATCCGCGAATATCGCCCACTACATCATCAAAGACGTGACATACACTGTGTGTATTTATACAAGAAATTTTATTTTTGGTAAGTGGTAGCTATACCTCGCTTCCGTTCCCCCTTCAATACAACGGCTTTATGGTAGGTGAAATGGATCGATGATAGGGCGTAGCAGTATGTTTGCAAGGACAAAGAAGTGGGCAGTTTGCAAAGGTGGAATTATAGGCGGTCACGTAGGAACAAGGAATAGACACAGTGGGAAAATCTATACTTCTTTCATGCGCACCTGAATACAAGTACGTGACTACTTCTTAACAGTATTGACTTTATGGTCACGGTAGTGGTGCATCGGGGATGGGGTGTAGTGGGATGTTTGCAAGGTGGCTACATACACCAACGCAGAAGAACAGACCCACACCATAAGGAGCTTCGCCCTTAAAAGCTCTGACGTGCTGCTGCACCGAAACACGCAGCAGCCAGGCATTGCCACGAAGAGTGAAACTTGATATTCAACTCGGAGGCATGTTTGGCGCGGGTAGTCTGGAGGGTTAATGGCAGCCGTGGTGAAAGGTTAGCGCGCGAAGTATGTTTGTGCGCGCTTCATGTGACGTCAGGCTCGCCTGATTATCTAGTAGCGCTCTTCCCAGCCTTTCATCCCTGCAGATGGTGGGATCAAAAAAGAGGAGGTTGACGGCGCGGCGATAGGGAGACGACGTAGATCAAGGAGTGTCGTTACTTTCCAAAATTTCGGGGTTATGCCTCGGCCGATCGCTCGTGTACTTTGTCCTATGGTGCGTGGTTCCGCTGTGCTCAAGCACTCGCTCATCTCGCAATAGCAGAGAATAATATATCTTGGGCTTTCACTTGAACGATTGCGTAGTAGTTTCAGGCTGCACGAAGGTCACTTTGCTTTCTGCAGTAACTCTGTTTGTGAAAACTGCGTACTTTTTAAACACAGCAAAGTAACAACTGTTAAATCAGTTCGCGTTCACCTTCAGTATACATGTGCGTATACCCTTCGTGCGTCCTTTGTGTTTAAGTAGGGCGTTAAGTGTCGTACTGAGAACGTTGTTATATTGTGGTCATCCTGTATGTAATTTTTAGTGTTTTTTCTTCGTGAGCAGCGCACTGCATGTTTTGATCTCGTTGGTGTCCTTCGCGTGACAGTCCAGTTCGTTGCAATCAAATTCACTGCTTCGACCTTGCGACGAAACTATGGCAATTTACTTACTCAGGTTCGTCTATAAGTGATATGTTAAAATGATATCAGTTACTGTTGCTTAAATCACTCAAATATTTTGTGTACACACTTTGTTTTTGGTAGTTGTGTAGAGCAGTCCTCATGAAACAACAGATACATTGACCATTAGAGGAACTGAACCTCTTGCGTATAGAAGTGTAGTCAGTTAGCTTCGGTTTCATATTTTTTGCTGTGTACGATCACTTTACTTAAACCACCATTATCATTGATGAGAAGCTCCACCACGAGACACATCTAGAGTACCTATTTTTTTCATAATGATCACAGTCAGAATATTATTGATGAGAAGCTCCACCACGAGACACATCTAGAGTACCTATTTTTTTCATAATGATCACAGTCAGAATAAAACTCTCTAACATTTTATGCTGATATTTGATGACATATGAAGAACTTGAATGACCTGAGAAGAATCATATTTTCAATTTTGATTTATTTACAGGAAATGACTCTAAATATATCTGTCAACGTCTTCACAAGTTCTATTCGTTGCACGGATGTACATATGTTATCCCATGAGCCACGCAGGAAAGGGTTCAACGTAAGAACAAGTAATAGTGAAGAGTCGTTCATATGGCATGTCACTAGAACCCACCTTAGCCAAGACTGTAACTGATGTGCTTGGAATCTTCTTTGTGAGCGTGTGTATGATAATCTCCCAACCTTAAAAGTTAAGAAGAAAGGGCCCGTGTACATAATAAGTAAATAAGTAAGAAGTTATGACGGTGTTACTGAAGTAGTTATGGTAAGGAACTAAGACAGCCAGATGCTGCTCTGGCAAAATGGATGTCAACTTGCGGAGGCATTGTCCGAAGCGACATTCTGTGTTCAGCAGCTTTTCATAGCTTCATCGTCGTCCTGTGCTTCTGTATTGTATTGTAGCACAGATAAATTTACACCACATAAGCACAAAATGTCATGGAGGGGAATGTGAGAGTTGGTGACAAAAATAGTCCAAAGAGCAGAGATTTTATGCCCTGAGTGCTGTTTTGAGAAGTGAATTTACCTTTTTCAAACCTAGAACGCATCAGTTCTTGCCCAGGAGAAGTGATGGCCTCTTCTCGTAACGTCGGCACAAGCGAATCACTCCTAGTTACATATTTTTTGTTTCGTGGTAACGGCTAGTAAAGGTTATGGTTCAAGTAATGTGACAGTGCTTGCAGTTGCTATATGTTTGTGTATAACTGGTAACTGCTCAGAAATAAACACAGTAAACACACAGCCAAATGTTGGCATTGCCCCTGGAACTAGTCTACTGGGACAATGGTAGCTTTGGGTACGTCTGTGAAGGCTGTAATTTGTGCCTTCTTGCTTCCTCGTAGAAGTTCTGGCTGAATGACCCCCGGAAAAGAGAAAACATGATAATTGATTGACATTTTTCACTGCAGGATTCCAGCATTGCGCCATATTGGGGAAAATTCTGTATACTAACACGGTATGTGAGCAACGTGCTACAGCTATTGCATTACTTTGCTCAGATCGTCGACGTGACCACCCGTAACAAACTCGGCCCACACCAGATCGGGGAAATTTGCTTTCGAACGCCATCTATGGTGAGAGGATACTACAAAAGGCCACGGGAATCGGCTGAGCTGTTCGACGAAGAAGGATGGTGCAAATCGGGTAAGCCTAGACGTAGAATTCCAGCGTTTTTATTAAGTACTACTACTGGTTGCATGACGTCGGGTCCAACATCATCATGTGTATAAATCCTCTGTCTTATGAAGGTCGTTAGGCAGTCCATTTATTGACGCTACTATTACGACACACAACGAGGGGAAGTGTTGCACGCTCACATTTCGACGCCCTTCATTCAACCTTTCCGAAGACAATCACTCAGAAAAAAATCACCGTTGTAGCTGACACGTGAGTTGTTCATTTGTTAAGCTTGAGTGCACGTGTTCAACCCCAAGCCATGATGCAATTCAGAGCTAAGCTATCCAATGCCCTGTATTTGGCAGGATTGCCCAAATTTCTCATACAGTGTCTCATGTCCCGCGTCATTTCTGTCAGGACAGCTATATGTCTCGGATTTGTTCTGGACTGCCCAGTTACAACGCGTGTCACGCTACGGAACGTGAAGTTTGCACTAATTGCGCGCACTAAACATTAATGTGGGGGCGAGGGGCAACTTTGAGGGCTTTTAACCACTTCAGATGAACTTCCAATCGATGTACGTCAACTTTCACGAGTACATCATGCAGCAAGGGTTTTTTTTGCAAGTAGCGTGCTGCCAGGTGATGCAACTCAATTACGCTACACACAAGGCTACTGCAATAAAGAAGTGATAGATTCTTCCGAAATATTTCAACAATATTACCAGCCAATTGATTGGCCGATTCCCGGTAGTAGATACAAACCACTTGCAAAGGATCAAACAAGCGAGCGAACTAAATTCGCTGGCTTTGTGTTTGTGTGTCCTACCCTCCCCGCTGTCCCGAATTTCATCAATGAACACTTGCTAACTCTACATGTAGTGCGTACGTTTGTGGTAGCACCTGCGGTGAAAGGCACGTTAACAAAGCCTTGGCCATCGACAGTAATATGTACTGCCCCATCACGACATGTCTCAAAATCGTAGAGTAGTTTTGGGCCGTAAGCTCTTATTTGAAGTATATGAAGGTGCTAAGCACATTTGAAAGTTGGCGGGTTACGACAAGTTATGCTTAGGTACCTAGCACTACTCGGAATGATAAAATGACACGACGAATGCCTCTAAGCAGGCCAATTGCTGGATTTATTCACCTGAAGTCAAAATAGCAATGCTATACTTACATAAGGTAGCATTCAGCACTGCACCGACTTTCACAGACAAGAAGACAGAAAGTGTTACACCACTTTTTCAACAAAAAAAATTCACCTCCTATGAGCAGTGGTACTCACAATCTTTACTGCTAATTGATTTCGAATGCTTAAGCAATTCGTATCATTAGGTGACTTCTATGGAGCTTTTATTGCGGAGAGGAGGATTTCCTCCTTTCTGGGCTGTTGCATGAGAGTACAAAAGCTGACGTCAAAGCCTCACAGAGCATTCTTTGGGGGGATGCGTGCACTAAAAACCGCCTAAAGAAAACTATGGCGGCGACCAGGGAGCCTTGAGTGAAAAGGTGTTTAAAATGAAAGTATATCTGTTTTACTGAAAAGAGGCAGGCAGTCCCAATGTAGCGCTAGTTGTTTGTGTGGGGGATGTTGGCGGTAAATGGTTCACCTAAGGAGTGCAACCGAGCCACGTGGGCTTTCTATTGCTCTTTCGCACTCGTTGCGCCTTTTCTCTTGTTCATTGTTTCTCTTGTTTCGATTTTTCTATTTCACACCTCCCTTTCGCATATCCATTTCTTTTTTTCCTTCTGTGTATTTTTTTCTATTCCTTCCTCTCTCTCTTCTTCCTTGTATTTCTCACTTTCTTCCCCTTCCATCTTACTGGTTGTGTTGGTCTCTTTTTCGTGCATTTTTTTCTTACGTCTTTCTCTGTCTTTTTACCATTTTGCTTCTGTTTCTTCTTTTTTTTCTATCTCCCCTCGCCTCCCTCTATTTTCTCTTTGTTTTTAATCTGTGTTTTTCTAATTCTCTCTCACGTGCTTCAAAAAGTTCCCTTTAGCCAAACACAGATTTAGTTTAACGCTCGCAACTGCTGTAGTCTTTAGAGAAGTTTACCCAATTCTATCGGCGTGTGGATTGCTAATGTTGGTGTAGTAAGGACGGAGGCAACACATCAGGGCAGCAATAAGAATCATTTATGGTTTATTGTCGCGCTCTTATATTGGCAAAATGCGTGATAGCAGTGGTATTGTGGTAATGCAGGCAGTGTAGAGAGCTCATGCCGAGTACATCCTCTGCAAGGTAATGGTTGAGAATGAAAAATCAGGTTATTTGATTGAAGGCCGCATTGTAACGCAGCCTGTGCAGTGTTAGCGTGGTGCGACCCTATCTTCATAGGACCAGTGCCAGCCTGGGAGGAGATGGATCGTAGTTCGGTGTAGCTGGCACCAAAAGAAGATTGGCGGGCGCTACACGAGTGTTTGGCATACACTGGTACTTTGTAGCAAGAATGGCTCTACTTGTTGCAGGTGGGCCTCAGTCATCAGACATTTTCTCAGAGGTGTCACAATCACTCACGTTTGGTGTCCACTGTTGAAGGGTCTGAAAGAGATGGCGTGTGTTACTTATAGAGCTCGACCATCTTCCGTTTCCTCACTACAGAATACGTTCTTGCCAAAGCAATACCTCCCGGAATCCAACCTCGGAAGTCATCTCCGTGAGGTTACAACCACGAACGGCAGTTCACCAGCAGATAGCTGCGCAGCCGGGCCTAGTACAAACACCATGCTCAAGATGCGCTCCAACCTCCAACTCTTCCTCGGCAACCGATGCCGAAACAACCCTGCCAGTGGCCGAGAGTAGTCACCAGCCACATTTATCGGGAAAGCTTCCCTCATGCTCGTCATCGCTTGGACAATGGGGGTCACCGGAACCCGTCGTACTGAATACCTTAATAGCGCACCCATATGTTTCCACGAATGCTGCGAATACGATGCGTGCCGTATCACTACACGATCCAGGCGTATCGAGAGATCTTGACTAGACGAGCTTTGACCAGGTGGACCCATATGCGTGGTCGCCACGGAACGTATTGGAAGGCGAGCAATTGGACGTTTGTTGTGAGCAAAGTGTTCTAAAGAAAGCGTTCGAAGGATAATTTCGACGTGCCTGGGACTGCTGGGGTCAGTGTCATCGAGGCTTTACGGTGGAGCCTGAGTCATCTGCTGGTGATGTGAATTATGAGTGCTATGGCTCCAATGTTTGCAACACTTTGTCGTGGATTACCACTACGAGCAACTCGAGAAGCACACCACAGGTACCCCTAGGCCATGGGGTACATCTATCGTCAGCACAGGTGCTCATCGCCACTTCTTCAGTGACGGGTTGGAGATCCCACTGCCGCAGCTCGACCCTTCACGAACGGCGCGAGAAAGTCCACCCGTCGCGACATTCAACGACTGCGAATATGCACTGAATTGTCCTGTTTGTACAACTACGGCGGAACAGACGTCAACTAGACCTGCAGTGATCAGGAAACAGTCGGGTACATCCACCACAGACACTGTTGGCATGTTTTCAGAAGACGCCACACTGAGAAAAAGGGCAAGCGCAGCAACAGAGCGAATTCCGACCTCCCAAAAACACAAAGGAAGACCTTCACGCGAGGCGAAGTGTGACCGGGACCGACCACCGCGATTCCGCTCATACCGGCCAACAGAATCATTGACGGTCTCTCCGCATGCTTCGCAGTCATGGCCAAGTGTTGCGACCAAGAAAGACGCTGGGGCTCGGGCACCCGGGCAGCAAGAGAGAAGTAGACGAGAAAGAAGTCGGAAAATAGAACAGCTGGCAGGCAGCAATGGCGCAATTTCGCACACTTAAAATCAGGCAAAATTTATCAGACCCTGCACTGACGGCTTCTCCAAAGTACAACAACTTTTTATATCTCTGGCGCAGCGAACTGTCTAAATCATGGATGATGGAAGTTGTCTTCACAACACTTTGTTGCCGCGTTACCTCCCTCAATTTTTACTGGCATAGATCAGGTTTATTGAATTACCCTATATGTATTTACTGTAATCAAGAGGAAATGATCAGTCATTTTTTATTACATTGTCACCATTTTGATTTATTTAGGCAAAGCATACTAGCACCACCTCTACAAAGACTGGGCTTGCAATCATCACAACCTGATCTTCTTTCACTTGAAGCCTCTACACTGGGTTTCCGCCACAGGGATGTTTTATTCGCCATTCAGGAATACATCACTGTCACTAAGCGATTTTCTTGCTAAATTACGGTCTCACTATTTTTTCTTTATTTTTCTACAAAGTTGCAATTGGCACTTCAAATCAGAATTATTCAACAAAAGTTTTTTTAGGCATGACGCAATGCGGAAAGTATCGGGCAAATTCACCTGATAATCGGGCAATTCCCTCTTTCGGGTACGAGCCATTTGAAGAGGATAAAACAACAAGGGTGCTGCTTCTGTCTCGTTTATTCCTTACAGTGCGTTCGGCACTTTATGCTTCTGCACTACTGCATGTTTTCCTTTATCCTTGCTCACTTGCGTTCTAATAAATTAGAAGCCGGATCATTTATAAATTCTGTAAAAATGCTAAGCAGTGACAACATTGATTTTTACCACATGCAGCCTGAGTGTCCGCCTCCGTTCAACTCTGTGGGTCATTAACCAGTCAGTCAAACTCAACGTAGCATGCAGGGACCTTAACACGACGCCTATAGTGTTGGTGCATTGCCAATAAAAAATTATACAAATGGCCACTCCAGGGGACAACACAGATACAGTAATTTGACCGTTGATTACCGAAAGAAACAAAACCGATACAAACATCCACAGGACGAGCTTTACGGGATTCAGCATGTAATGAGGGCCGAATGGGGCTATAGTCTGGACCTGCAGCCATTCGGTCTATTTTTTTTTCTCTTGCATAAATATTAATAACATTTACCACAGTACTAAGCCTCACGCATATAGTTTTCTTTAAGGTGGACCTCTTATGTACCCGCTCCAGCGTTGACCGCCGTCCTTTAGTGATTCTCGTTTAAGCCGCCTGGCTCGTCATTGTCTTGGACGTCAGCGTGCTTTCGGGAAGGCGATGAAACTGTGGCGTTGGTGTTTGCTTCACGACACTGGATGTAATTTTTTTATCTTGTTGATTGCGTTGTCCCTTGTACATTGCAGTGTTATTTGCTGCTGGGGCTTGATTTACGGTTTTCGAGAGTATCCGGAAAATTAAAGAACCAAGAGTTCCATCAGATGTTTGGGCAACATATCAACTTTACAACATTGCAGCATTTATTGAAGGTATTTTGTGGAAGAGCTTATGTGCGAGAAATTTAAAGTCAGCACGTAGAATCACGATAAGTCGCAGGGCCAGAAAGATATTGACGGATGAAATGGATGACGAGTTAACGATCGCAGTTTCACAGCAATGGCCATGGTTGTTTGTTGTTCGTCATCGAATCACCGGTGAAAAGCACCACGATTTTGTATGTATTTAACTGAACAATCCAGCGTTACTGCAGTTTACTCGCTTCCGGGGAGTAGTTCTGAGAATCATCTTGAACAATCGCAAAGCGCTCCCAACATCGAGAGCAGCCTGCGCTGAACTCTGCTAACAGTTCTTGGACGGGACATCACAACAAACAAAAATTTATGGGCGCGTGAATATTTACTCTTCCAGTGCATTTGGTAGCAGTTTTTATAAGTACAAATTCACTGATGATGACAATACTGCCTAACGCGAATTCTGAGCGAAGCTTTTTCTTGGGACAATGCCAATATTATTTGAACTTTAGGGTGTATGTTGTTGTGTCATGTTGTTGTAACATTCACTACATACGGCCACAGAAACTGCCAGCGTTCAGGTGCTACACATACCACTTTATGCACTGCAGACTTTGGGAGCCAAGTGTGAGGCCGACAGCGCTGGAATGCTACGCACACCACTCTACGCATTAGTGGTGTCACGAAGCAAGTGAAATGGCGACAGTTTCGTTACGACAAGCCAAGCCAGCCACAGCGCACGTTCCATCCCTGCATACTCCCGAGCTACGACCGAGGGACCAGCAAATGTCACAGAAAAAATACAGAGAGGTTAGAGTGCAGTGGTTAGCGATGTCGACGAATTCCACGTTTGTTTTTTTTTCATCCTAGTTCGGTCTCTCTAATTTGCCACCGACGTTAGACAACCGCAACGCCGTCCACAGCAGGGAAGACCACGTAAAAGCAATGTCCTATTATTTATTTCTAGCTCTTTCCCATACTAATGGGCAAAAGGCTCTCGGCGTTGAAAACGCACCGAGGCGCAGACATGCTATGTTCCAAGAAAACAAAGTTTGAATCTGGTGACCCCATACAGATGTAATTGTAAAAAGACCTTGATCATCATCATCATGCTAGCTATCAGCCCGACTACAGCCACTGAGAGGCAAAGGGACTTCCCATGTTCTTAATATTAACCTATCGTTGTGCTTGGTGCTGCATCGTCATAGCTCCAAATCGATTATTCTCTTCTGGTTTTATAAAGTTGTCGCATCTTCGTGCATTCGCCTTATCTTAGAATCTAGTCAGTTAACCTTAATTTCGAGCGGTTTTTCTGTCTACGCGCTCCATGACCTGCTCATGTTCATTTTCTTCTGGTATCAACAATCATGCCCTGAACACCTGTGTGTTCTCTTACCCACTTAGATTTCTTCTTGTCACTTATAGTTATGCCAAGTACTTTCTATTCTACAACTTCCTGCATAGTCCTCAATTTAAGTTGAACCTTCTATGTAAGCCTCCATGCTTCTACTTTGTAGGTGTAATATTTGTTTGAGGCAAGTATATATTGCGATAAAAATAATAAACAAAGATGCAGGTGTTGTATACCGTTTTTTCGTGAAGTACTAGTAAAGTAAATTTATGATTTCAGTATTCCTGACAAATATAACTCACCACACTCTCATCTTTTAGTTGTTACAGTCTGAGGGTTTAGCTGCGTGGTTATTACCTGCCCTAAGTAGACATAAACTTTTGCAACTTCCAGGTTGTTTCCCATACATCGCAAGGTGCCGTTGTCTGCCGAGAGTGTTGAGTATTATTTAGTATCAATATTATTACTTCTCACACCTGCTGTACTGGTTTCAATGGCCGGTTCAGTAATAATGAGCCTATTCATACTCTGAGTCAAGGCAACGTCAGCACTAAAACATCATCATTGAATCCCTGCATACTCAGGTACTGCCCACTATTTTTTCCTAACTTCCCAATCCAGCGCCCTGAAAATCTCCTCTGAATATTCGCTAAATATCCCTAGAAAGATCATGCCTCCCGACACCGCACCCTTTATTTTTAATCAGTAGCATTCCTTATACAGCACTTTAGTGACGGTGCATCCTCTGTAGCTTTCTTGCAGTATGTTCTATACATCTTTCGATTCCGTGATTCCGCCATACCCACACCTATGAGTCCAAAAACTTGTGGGTAGTTAAATGATTTTAAATAACAATATTCCTTTTCGTTCTTCAGGTGACGCAGGGTACTACGACGAGGATGGTCGCTTATATATCTCTGAACGCCTCAAGCAAATGATCAAGTGCATGGACAATCAAGTTGTTCCATCTGAGCTTGAAGAACTGTTGCTTCGCATGCACCCCACTCAGATAGCCGAAGTTTCTGTGGTAGGGCTGAAGCACTCGGAATACGGTGAAGCTCCAGCGGCGGCCGTTGTTCTCACAGAAGAAGGCAAGAAGCAAGACCTTACTACTTTCATCAACGACATAAAGGCCACTGTTTCAAGTAAGTCACTTAGAGAGACCATGTGTGGCTCCTTGCTTTTCTAATTTTATGTAGGAGCTATCTTCTCTTCGCAAGCCCCACAGTCAACTTGATCACTTTGATTCGAAGAGAAATCTCCGTGCTTTTCTGTGTTCTAGTTTGGAGTTCTTGATTATTTTCGCCCTTAAACTTTGCTTTTCATAAAAACAAGTACACAGCACTCGTAGTTCGATTAACGCGAAAGAGTGACTCCGTCATTATTTCAATGTTGTCGAATCCAGCGAAATGTGAAGCGCAAGTTTCTAACGCTACCGTAATTACGAGCGCGATGTCAAACAAATCAGGAGGAATATTTTTCCTGAACACTTATTTTAGTGATTCGTAGCTGAATTTGCCTTTTATTGCCACTCCTAATGCTACAGTCGATTGGCTTGACCACAGTGGGTGGCTACAGCAGCTGCCTTTTGATTGAGGTGAAATGGTAGAGTCACATGTTGTGTACCTTGTTAGTAGACGTGAAAAAACGCCAGATTGTCGACAATTTCGGAGCCCTTCACTAGAGCGCCTCTCGTAATCATATTGTTGTTTTCAGACGTTAAACCTCAAACAATAATTTTCGCATTCTCATGATATGAACACAATCACGCACGCGTGACGAGCGCCTTTTCACCATTTCGCAGTTCCTCTATCACAGTGTACCAAGCGAGTATTACACTTGCATGCAGACTTCTACTGAAGTTATTCAGCTTCAGCAGTGTTCACCATGTTTCAGTTTTATTGCGCGAGCATTCTCTGATGTCACAACGAAGCTACTGAGGGCCGCATCTGCTGTGGCTGAAACCATGGCCACAAAGCCGAAACAAAACAAAACAAAACATGCAGACTCGAGCCCCTGTCTCCGATGACCTGGTCTTTGAAGGCCACCATGAAATCCCATGAGGCAGTGGTCCGAACGTGTTCAACGATGGCGTTATGGCGGGTATTGTACATGGAACTGCGTGGCATGCCGAGACTTACAACGTGGGGGAGGGTTTCCCGCTCGTACCTACAAGCATGGCATCTCTGGCACGGTCCGGTGCGCCCCACATGCAGGCGCCATTGAGCGGGAGCAAGTTGCGCCGCGCCCGTTGTACGAAGCGCCAGTCTGCGAAGGAGGTGTAGGCGCCGTCCGTATGAAGTGCTAACTGGCGCGATCAGCCGCCACGCAGGTCAGTACCTTCCCCTGATTGGGAAGGTCGTGGAGGGTGTGGTCTCTGTTTGACGGCCAGCGCCTCTCGAAGCGACCTCTGGATGTGGCAGCAGTGCTGGGGCGTAATGGCTTTGTCGCCACATGTACGCTAGCCGCCAGGGTACACGTCCCAGGCGACGTGGTAGCAGCGAGAGGCCTTTCGGGTGCGGGTCCACAAGGGGGGCAGTTGGGTGGTGGGGGCCCTGACACTGTCAGGTAGCTATCCCCAAAAGTAGGCCTCCATCTCGTGACAGGTGACCTCCCAGACGAGGCGGGCGGTGACGAGGGAGTAAGTGTCTTCGAATGCCATCTCCCGGAGCTTGGCGTCGGGGAACATGAGAAGTTTTCAGGCGGAGTCTATGCGGCACAAGTCACAGATGTCCGCCAGGACAGGCAGCCCGATAGCTCCACCCTGTGCTGATCTGTATATGTCACGGCATTGCTGGGCAGCTACAATGACGCTTTAGCAGCGGCAGGATGGCGTCGTTGAGGTGGTGCCAGTAGGTCTTCGCGAGGACACTGCACCTTATTGGAAAGTTGAGCGCCGGGTACGCAAAGGTCTGGAGCCCGTCCAGACGCTGTCACGGCTCCAACACCCATGAAAGGATCGCCCGTGCTTGGGCAATGGCGGTGTTGATGACGGAGGTGGAGTCGGTCGAGATACTGTTGCCGACCGCGCGTCCCAGGGACCGCAGCAGCTCGAGGTCTCGAAGAGTGGCGATAAGGACACCCGCAACCCTTAACTCTGTTGGCCTCATGCCCACGGGAGTGGCTCCGACCTTGTGGACGGATGCGCACTTGGCCAGTTTGAGTGGCAGGGCAAGGGAAGCGGCGAGAGTCTCTATCCGGTCTATTCGCGTTGAAGCCAGTGGGGCATACGGGCGAGCTGTGTCAGGTTATCCGCATAGGCCAGGATGTTGGGTCTGGTGTCAGAACCTTGGATGGCATGGATGTTTGGGTCGACCACGATGTTAAAGAGCAGGCTGCCAAGTGGTACGCAGCCCAGCCTTGATCAGTACCGATTCTCTCAAGCCCTCTGCAGCCAGAGTGCATCTGTCGTTGTCTGCGTACAGATATCTGATGAGGTCGGTGAAGACAGGACTAGCAGCAGCACCCCGTAGTGCGTTGAAAACACCCTATGCGGGACGGAGCCGTGGGCGTTGGTACAGTGTAACAAAGCCGCACAAAAATCGTAGCCGCCCGATCTGACAATATCGACACGCCGCTGCAATATGTAGTTTAGCTCGAACACTCCGTCATGTGGCAGGAAACCCTTTTGGCACTTGAAGAGGACGCCTTGCTCCAATATTCATGCCTGTAGTTGGGCTGCGAGGCACTTGGCGTACAGTTTCGGTGCCGTATAGCCCAGGGAAACGGGGCGCAAGTTGGAAGAAAGCTGTGGGTCTCCTCGCTTGAAAATCACAGCCGTCTGGGGTGTGCGCCACGAGTCTGGTCTTCTACAATGATAAACTCATGCATTAAATAAAGGAGCCAGGAACGGGGCTTTGGGGTCGACCGCTTTTTAAAAGCGGTAGGTTAGACAGTCGGTCTCGGTGACCATGTTCTCAGACTTGCGTAGACGCAAGAATGCCTCCTCTTGGCTGAAGGGCGTCACTTCAATGCCTGCAGGTGCAAATGTCCGGCGCAGAATAAGAGTCGAGTCGGCTTGTCGGGCCGTGCACATGTGGCTTCCACATTCTTGCAGATCCTGGATGGGGATCGCGCACGTTTGTGAATGGCCCTCTAGCATCAATCTCACCACGCGGCGTCAGTTTCGGTGGTAAAGCCGCTGTATCTCCACCGCGTTTGCTGGGTTGGGCTCGCGGCATTCGCGGCCAGCACGAACTTTCCTTAACCATACCACTTTGGCGACAAGAGCAACTGCCTGGTTCTAGGCGTCCTCGCAGCGGGCCCACGGCTCGCCAGAGGGTGGGTCCCAAAGCACGGAACGAAGCAGGCGGGTCTGGTCGTCGAGAAGGTGGTGTAATCGGGTGGCATTTGGGGACTCGGAGAAAAACCCTCGGCCTGCTCACTGGCGTCAACGTCGTTGTTGCGGTCCATCTCCGCCTCGCCCTCTGGCTGTGGTACGGATGCAGAGGAAGCAGAGAATGGTGGGCATTCCGGCGTGAGAGCCGGAGGTGGTCCGGTATCAAGTGGCGGATGAGGCGATGCCGGTGCACTGGAGAGCCCGTGCAGCATGTCGTCGACTGAGACTGCAGCCATGTCTGTGGGCGAGGCTGCGACCGAACTGCGTGAGGCAGATGCCTCACTTTGTGTCGGCGGTGTGACGGCGTGAACGTGGGCCGTGTCCTGGCCAGTCAGTGCCGTGGACAGGGTCAGCAATACAGGAGCCGCTGACCGCGCAGCCTCGGGAGGCCACGAGAACACCGGAAGGTGTTAAGATCCGCAAAGACGCATGTCAGGGTGGCGAGACCACAATAGCCTCAAGCAGGCCATATGCGGAAGGCACCGAGCAAGTTGCAGGCGAAGACGGTGGTGACCCAGTTTCGGAGGTTGAAACCCAAGGCGAGGACGACCCGCTTGAAGAGACGTACTACAATTCAGTGGGTTTATCCTTTGACGAGACAGTTGAGTATCCCGAACTAGACACCTGATCGGGTGAGACCCGCATGTGACGAGCAGCAAGAGACGCGTTGTCCCTGCGACGCTGAAGAAGCCCGTGATGGTACCATCGAAGTGCCCTAAGAGGAGAAAGACGTGCTGGAAGTGTAGCACCGGAGGTGAGCGGTCGCCCGCTGAGCAGCAGCAAGTGAAGAACCACATGGCGTGACTTGATAGCGAAAGTCGTTGGCCTTGCTGCAGGATGATGTCAATGTCGCATAAAAGACGTGGCAGTGACGCCGTGGCACCAACGAAGACAGTGCCAACAGACAGACAGACAGACAGACAAAGAACTTTATTCAGGTCCTGAGGAACTGCGTTGTAACGGCCCCGTTTAGGGGGAATCCGTAGCAGTCGCGGGCCGCTCCCACGTAGGGACCGGAAGACCGTGGCCCTCCGCCCTCTCGCAGGCCATCTGGACAGCCCGAAGTTGAACCAAGAGGTCGCCGCTGTTGAGGGCTTCTTCCCAGTTTTCTTCTTTGTTGAACTCTGCGTCACGTAACGCAGGACATTGCCAGAGCATATGAGGTAATGAGCAATACGGCTCTCCGCAGTCCGTACAATGGGGCTCGATGTTGGACGAAAAATGACTGAACCTGCCTCGCGAAGGGAAAGACCCCGTTTGGAGCATCCTGTAGGCCGATGATTGTGGTCGCGTAAGTTTAGGATGAGGAAGTGGAAAAGCCCTCCGAGATAGATGATAATGAGTCATGATCTCGTGGAAAGTGAGTAGCGAGTCCCTGTATCTTCCGGCGTCCCCGCCTGCAAATCCGCCGGGACCGCCGCGGTGAGCGATACCTCGCGCACGGTCATGGGCAAACTCATTGGCGTTGGGGACATCAGGATGTACGTTGGCCCCCATGTGGGCCGGGAACCATGTTATGGTGTGAAATCCGGCAGCCCCCTCACAGCCAACGTGCCAACGTGGCAGTGGCCAGGCAGTGGTGGTTGAATGGGCGGGAGGGCAACGGGACGTCGCACACTGAGCACAGGTACAGTCGATCACGCACAAAGCACTCGTGCTCGACCTCCACCTACCGGCTCACGGACTGTACCTGCGACGTCCAGTTGGCCCCGCTGTAGGCCACGCTGCAGCCACTATTGGGGCACTGGAGCTCCACCGGGGCCTGGAAATGATTGCGCAGAACGTCGCGCTCCAAGTTCGGCTGGCGGGGCTGCACTGGACTTGAAGAGGGCGAGAGCACCACGGAGCCAGGCAACCCAAATGGGACGACTCAGCAACTGACAGAGAAGGGCCCGCCGCAGGTGGAGCCGTAGTACGGGGGTGAGATCATCGAGCCTGTGGTGGCACAGACGAGCCGGAGGGGAGGGGTGCGTGATGGCGCAGTCGGTGACGAACGCAGGGAGACCTCGTACGGCGTGGCGACTCCATGGCAGCAGGTGCCGGCGTGAGCCATAGGTGGGACCAGGCAGCAAGAAAGCGGGCCGGGCCAGGCAGCACGACGTGGCGACGTTGCGGTCACGATGACCGGAGGCCATGGACGTCACCAGCAGACAAATGGTGAACGGGCCGGCTGCGGCATGCAGCAGGCAGCAAGCAGGAAACAGCGGAAGGCGGGCGAAAAGAAGCTGTAGACGCTTGTCGCACCAAAGCTTAACCTGATAGTTCAGTTTTGATGCCCACCATTTCACCATTCGTGACGACCTTCTCCACAGGCGCAATTCCAACAGTGACGGCCGCAAGTGGCTACTAGTCATACCTCGCAGACTGTGCTCTGACATATGCGAATTCTTTCATTCTGATCCGCAACGTGTGCACTCCGGGATATCGAAGACTTACCACCGCATTCGCCAACGGTACTTTTGGCGCGGCATGTACCGCTACGTGCAGAAATTCGTTCGCTCCTTCATAGATTGTCAGCGCCGCAAAGCTTCAACGCACCTGTCACCGGTAGGTCTGCAACTTTTACCTTGCCCTGCCAGGCCCTTTGGGCACGTTGGCATGGATTTGTATGACCCACTTCCACTAACGTCAGCTGGTAACCGCTGGGCCATTGTCGCTGTGGACCACCTCACGCGATACGCCAAAACGGCCGCTCTCCCCGCGGCTACAACGAGAGATGTGGCCTCTTTTCTGCTTCAACGATTCATTCTGCGACACGGTCTACCCCAGGAATTGCTCAGTGACCGAGGCCGCGTCTTCCTGTCTGAAGTCATTGAAGCCATTCTCAAAGAGTGCAACGTTGTTCACCGCAAAACTGCTGCTTACCACCCGCAGACGAATGGCCTCACCGAACGCTTCAACCGAACGCTCGGAGACATGCTCTTCAAGTACGTCACCGCCGATCACACAAATTGGGATTCCATTCTGCCCTTCGTCACCTACGCATATAATAGCGGCCCTCAGAGCATTACTGGATTTTCACCTTTCTTTTTATTATATGGAAGGCACCCGTCACACACCATCCACACGATTCTTCCGTACAGGCCAGATCCATCTGAGTGGGCACCTATTTCTGCTACAGCCAAGCTTGCTGAAGAGTGTCGAGAGCTTGCAAATACCTTTACTGCGCATGATCAAGAGCGGCAAAAAAGCATTAGCGCTGACGCCAACACTACTGCGCTCACGTTCCTCCCTGGAGCGCTCGTCTGGCTCTCGATCTCTACCACTGCACCTGGCCTATCTTCAAAACTATTGCCCAAATACGATAGCCCCTACCGTGTCGTCAAATGCACTTCCCCAGTCAACTACTTAATTGAACCCATCAAACCATCGAGGACACGACATTGTTAACGTGGAGCGCCTCAAGGCCTACCATGACCCGCTTGTTGTAACCA